ATACAGCTTAACACTGCTGTGAGGGCAGGACAATGAACAGTGTTGGCTATGGTTTTGAGTAGCTGTGGTAGCTCCTGGAAATTACTTCCTCCCTCCCCACCATCACCCTGGCTTTAATCTGTCAATGATTGACAAGATCAGGTGACTCTATGACTCCTGGAGTAAAGGACTTCTGTGCTGTTTATTAGTTTAGAGAAATCACTCCTCCTCTCTCAAATCATATGTAATACACAGCTTTTTAAGACATAGGTCTAGAACAGATTGTGTTGTATTTTCATTGGAAGGAGAGAGGAATAAAGAGTTATTAGAGTTCTAAACTGGTTTAAGGAATTGGCAGTAATTCTTCCTGCTGTGGACTTGAGTGAACTGAATCTAAATGCTTTGCTTATTACACTGACATGCACCTTTGTGTTATTTTTAGATGCAGGACATTTCTATCCAGGGCTCCAAATGAGGCAGCTTTATAAAATTCCTAAATCCTGTCAAAAGCATGGATTTTGGACCTTTTTTATCTCACGTGTTTCTTCCTGGATGTGGTATAGCTCAACTAGATAGTGGGTTTTCATGTGAGCTTTTCTTGTAATAAAGTTCTGTGGGGTTTTGTCTCCAGCCTACAGACAAGAGGCCACACTCGGGATTGATGTGTCAGATTCAAGTGCCAATTGTATCGAGCAGACAACAGAATGGAGTGCTTGTTCCAAGAGCTGTGGAATGGGCTTTTCCACCCGTGTTACCAACAGAAATCAGCAGTGTGAGATGGTGAAGCAGACACGGCTTTGCATGATAAGACCTTGTGAAAACACAGAAGCACCTGAGAAGGTAATTCTGCAGAGAGAGGTGGGGGAGCAGGGTCTCTTCAGCTGGAAGTCCAAGGTTGCAGCATTGCAGTCTAGAATGCTCCAGATGCAAGTGCATATAAATACACCATTTAGCATATGTGCAGCAAGCCCAGTGTGTTTGGAAAGCATTAGACTTGCTGTGTTTGCTGGGTAGCTTTGTGCTGCACCTCCAGCAGGCCGAGGGAAGTGATTCTGCCCCTCTGCTCAGCGAGACCCCACCTAGAGTCCTACGTCCAGCTCTGGAGTCCTCAGTACAGGAAAGCCATGGACCTGTTTTAGTGGGTCCAGAGGAGGGCTGCAAAAATGATCAGAGGGATGGAACAGGCCCAGATAGTTGGGGTTGTTTAGCATGGAGAAGAGAAGGCTCCAGGGAGACCTTTTTGTGGCCTTCCAGTACTTAAAGGGGGCTTGTTAAGAAAGATGGAGACAGAACTTTTAGTTGAGACTGTAGTGATAGGACAAGGGCTAGTGTTTTTTAAACTAAAAGGTAGATTCAGAGTAAATGTAACAAATAGGTTTTTTACAATGAGAGTGGTGAAACACTGGAACAGGTTGCCCAGAGAGGTCCTAGATGCTCCCTCTCTGCAAATTTTCAAGGTCAGGTTGAACTGTGCTCTGAGAAACCTGATCTAGTTGAAGATGTTGCTCCTCATTGCAGAGGACTTGAACTAGAAGACTTTTTGAGGTCCTTTCCAACCCAGACTATTTAATGATTCTTTAGTAATTTGAGCCATCCCAAACAGATCAGATGTATTGCATTCAGGGACTATTTTGACAGCTCACACAGTCTAACTCCTCCCACAAATGCAATTTTACTACCTGTATGTATGCTTCAGAGTTGCTCCAGTCATACAGAAGTGTCTGCCAGATTTCTGGTCTGTTGAGCATCGCGGCACTGCAGTGAAATGTGTGAAATCATGCAAAATCTGTTTGGGTAAATTAAACCTTATCTTAATCCCTGGGATGCTTTTTCCAAAAGCAAGTCCAACTCTGACACTTCAGGTGCAATAATGTGTATATAAGGCAACTGACTGTTCTGGTGCTTCTGCACATTACACAGATGTTACTGTCAGGGGAATTAACATGTAGCTAGGTAAGAGGAGCATCACTCTGTGCAGTGCTCTGAGTGGTGTAAAACATTGTTAAGGCCTTTGCTGAATAGTCTGTGCAGTGTTAAATACTGTGTTTCAAAAAGGATAGAAAACCTGTGGGAAAAAGTTGGAGCAACCAACAGGTATGATCAGAGGTCTGGAAAAAATGTTCTGCTAGGAAGAATTGATTGAATAAAACTTTATCTGAATGCCAGAGAATGAAGATGCTCTCTCATAACTGTGTTCAGGTATTTCAGCTTTTTCTGAGTCCATGGGGATACAATAAATGGTGAGTTTAGACTGCATAAAAATTAAGATGTAAGTGGAAACCTTTCAAGCAGTAAGAATAGTGAACTGTTAGGATTGTCTGGGTCAAATGTGGAATCTCTGTCACTGAAGATTTCCAAGGACAAGTTAGACACAACCACCTGTTAAGAATAACACGGATAAAGCTGGTTCTGCATTGGGTCACAAGAATTCACAATGACTTTTGAGGTTAATTTTAACCCTCTGTTTTCCCCCTGAATCCTGTAAATTGCTCACTTGGCTTCCTGATTCTCTGATGAAGCTACACTAGGCTGAGAAGGTCTTCAACAGAGCAGAGTTTTCATGCTGAATTTTATTTTGTCTGGTCTCAGATGACCTTTAATTATTTGTCATTTATTACTGGCCAATAGCACGTTAGTCTTGAAGAGCAGATCTTGCAGGGTTGCCTGTAAGTAAACACTGAAGTAGCTGCAGAATCTTTTTGCTGTTGGACAAACAAATAACAACAAATATAAATTTTCAGAGTAGACCTATATCCTTGCATTTCAATTTTTAACTGCCCTTTGGCTTATGCACTGATGTATCTAATGCTTCTTCATATTTCTCTCAGAAAGGGAAGAAGTGCATCCGAACAAAGAAGTCCCTGAAAGCTGTTCACCTTGAGCACAGGAACTGCACCAGTGTGCAGACATACAAGCCTCGTTACTGTGGCCTCTGCAGCGATGGCAGGTGCTGCACCCCCCACAACACCAAAACCATTCAAGTGGAGTTCCTGTGTCCTCAGGGCAAAGTCCTAAAAAAGCCAGTGATGTTGATCAGCACCTGTGTCTGTCATGCTAACTGTCCTCAAAGTAACAATGCTTTCTTCCAGCCTTCAGATGTGACATCTAGTGAGGCAAAAATATGAACTGCATAAATTAGGTAGTTCAAAAAGGTATAAATAGTTTATAAAAAACATGACCCACAATCAGGTGAATGTAACTATTGCATATGTAAAATATCTAAGATGTTTTTCAAAACAGTCTGGGCGCTTTGTTTTTTCCTGTAGTTTATTAAATACCTCATTTTACATTTTCCCCCTCCAAATGCCTTTTCACTCACTTGAAGGAAATGTTGTACCTTGGACAGAGCTTTCTGTCTTTTTCTTGACAATGGCATCAAGATTACAAGGCGAACAGCTGGTTTTTCTCCTTGAGTTAAGGGGATCGTGCCACAAGCTCTTTAACAGTAAATGGATTCCTTGGGGAATGCATGATATCGTGTCACATAAACTTCCAGGTTCTTAATTTCACTTTGTATAATGCATATAATCACTGAAGCAGCATTCTTTTTCAATTCTAGTGAAGCTCTGTTGCTGATGATAGTAACAATTTTACTGATTAAAGTGTTGCATTCCTGTGTCTTATGAAACACCTTCTCTCTGTACCACTGATTTTGAGGATTAAGTTTGCACGTAGCCCAAGAAATGATGTAGCTGAGACCTCTTATCCTGAACCATAGCAGACTGATAGCTGACAGCAACTAAATTTCTCCTTGGTAACTTCACAGTCTAATCCAAAACCCACTGAAGTCAGTGTATTAGGAGAACTTGGTTCTAACCAGTGCGTGTCTGTAGATATAACTATTTGGATGCAAAAATAAAATTTCTGTAAATTCCTCTAAAATACTAACTGTATCACATGGTGCTTCATTTCTTAAAAAGGTGTCTATGTAAATAGAAAGTGTATATATTGTAATATAACTTTAATAAGTAAATAAACTATATGATTAAAAATATTTTTCCTAAAGTTGTTTTTCTTAAACTACCAACTTTTGACAGCTACAAGCAATGGGAAGACAAGAGTCTGCAGCCTCCTAAAATCAAAAGACCATATCTTGTGATGCTTTTAGTATGCCTCTTCCTAATTGCTGCCCTAACAGGTTTGCAGTGTCTTGGTGCAGGAAAGGATGAGTAATGAATGAGGCACACACTAGGAAGGAGGTTTATTTCAGAGTAATAAGACCAGGAGATCGGGTGATGTAAATAAAGTTAGGTTTGGATGCAGTGTGTCCTGAAACATAGAGGTTGTGGGGAAGAATAATTACATGATCTGGAGTATGATTTGAGTCTGAAGTAGTAATGATATATTTAGTTGTGTCCTGCAGCATTTCAGACTCACAGAAGCAGCCTGTGACCCTGCTTGCACTAGGTATTGTATGGCTGTAGCCCCAAGATTACAGAGAGCCTGAGGGTGGCAGTAGCACATGTGTTCAATTATGTGTGTAACAGGATTGTACAAACAGGTCATAAGGACAATTGTGCAGATCATAGAATCATCAAGGTTGGAAAAGACCTTAAAGATCATGAAGTCCAACCAGCCACCCTACAACCCCTAACCACTAAACCATCTTAGGAAACACCATGTCTAGCCCTTTTTTGATGTTCACTGCCTGGACTGTGGGACCAAGATTAGCTCTGTGTGTGTCTGTTAGAGATACCAGAGCAGTACTTACACTACAACCATTCTTCTATAACCATGTGGAAGGAAACAACTCTCTTGTGAAAAAAAACCAACAGGCTGAATCTCAACATATTTAGCCTACTGTCTTCCCTCTCTGGAGAAGCTAGCAACATCTAGCTTGGCAATTCCTGAGATACACAAAGGGTGGAATTGAGCTGTAGGTTAAGACTCCTAAATTTTGTGTCAACATGGAGACATCTTAAAGCCCTTTTTAGCCAATTAAGCCTAAAATAAACTGTGAGCAAGCATCAACAACTGGTTTTTTTATATATATAAAAAAAAATATATATTTTTTGTAAATTTAAGTAATCCTTGAAAGTATGAGGCCCTGATGCTACAATCTGCACTTGTTCAGTTAAGGTTAGCTAGATCTTGTGTCCTCACCTGGACTCTTGCATGGTTTTCCCCACTCACTGTGCCAACAGTGCATTTCTCTGTGATCACTGCTGTTGTTATCAAAGCATCCCTGCCCACCTTATGCTGCTCAAACAGCTGGAAGAAGACTTGTCTTGCCCCTCATCAGACACGTGCTTATGCACACCTGCACACTCACTGCCCTTGCACTGGTTAATTCCTAATGTAGAGAATTTGTAAAGCTATTCCTGGTTTTACACCCCATCAACCTTGAGATGCTAGAAAATGCCAAGAGCTGGAGAGCACCAAGCCAGGACTGCTCTAGGTGGCTGAGGAGTGGTTAAGGAATAGATTAGAATCAAGAAGAGAGGGAAGAAGGATTATTTAAAATTACTTTCATCCTTAATCTCTGTGTGCTCCCCATCCATCCTACAATGTCTAACCACTAAACCACCTCCTGAAAGACCACATCTACCCATGTTTTGAACACCTCCAGGGATGGTACCTCCCCACCTCCCTGGGAAACCTGTTCCAATGCTTCACCACTCTTTCTCTGAAAAAAATTTTCCTAATATCCAATCTGAGCCTCCCCTGGTGCAACTTGACCCCATTTCCTCTTGTCCTATCACTGGTCACCAGGGAGAAGAGGCCAACACCCACCTCCCTGCAACCTCCTTTCAGGTATTTGTAGAGAGCAATGAGGTTTCCCCTCAGCCTCCTCTTCTTCAGGCTGAACAGCCCCAGCTCTCTCAGCCTCTCCTCATGAGACCTGTTCTCCACATCCCTAACCAGCCTAGTTGCCCTTCTCTGCAGCCTCTCTAGCCCCTCAATGTCCTTCCTATACTGCAGTGCCCAAAACTGCACACAATGCTTGAGTTTCAGCCTCACCAAGGTTGAGTAGCGGGGCAGGATCACCCCCTTAGTCCTACTGGTCACACTATTCCTGATACAAGCCAGGATGTTGTTGACCTTGGCTACCTGGGCACACTGCTGGCTCACGTTCAGTTGGCTGTCAATCAGCACCCCCAGGTCCTTCTCTGCTGGGCAGCTCCCACTCCTCCCCCAGCCTGTAGAGCTGCCTGGGGTTGTTGTGGCCAAAGTGCAGGACCTGGCACTTGGTGTTATTGAAACTCATACAACTGGCATCAGCCCATCCCAGATCCCTCTCAGGACTGCTGATAAATGATGGAAACTGGCTTGGTGAGCACCTCCACCAGCTCTTTCAGCTCTCTTGGGCATATCCCATTCAACCCCATAGATTTGTGCACATCTACGTGGTGTAACAGGTCACTGACCATCTCCTCCTAGATGGGGAGGGAACATTCTGCTCCTGGTCACTGTCCCCTGGCTTATGAAGTTGGATTCCCTCAACATGATTAGTTCATGCTAAAGACTGAGGCAAAGAAATCATAAAGCACCTCAGTCTTTTTCTCATTGTTCATAACCACGTTTCCTCCTGAATCTGATAGGGGATGGAAGTGTCTTCCTGATCTTTCATTTGTTGTTAATGCATTTATAGAAGCTTTTCTTGTTGGCCTTTACCATGGAGGCCAGATAAATTTCTAGCTGGGCTTTGGACCTTCTAATTCCCTCCCTGCAGGGTCTCACAGCATTTTTGTAGTCATTGTGAGTGGGCTGCCCCTTCCTTCAAAGGCCCTAGACTCTCTTTTTCTTCCTGAGCACCAGCCAAAGCTCCTGGTTCAGCCAGGCTGGTCTTCTGTGCTGCCTGCTCACCTTACAGCACGTGGGGATGGTCTGCTCCTGTGCCTTCCAGACTTTCTCCTTGATGAGCGTCCAGCCATTCTGGACTCCTTGACCCTTCAGAACAGATTCCCAAGGAATTCTGGCAATCAGGCTGCTGAACAAAGTTTGCCCTTCGGAAGTCTAGGGTGGCAGTTTAGCTGCCCTCCCTCCTGGCATTTCTAAGAATAAAGAACTCTAACAATTTGTGTACCCTAGACAGCCTCCAACCATCACATCTCCTACCAGCCCTTCCCTGTTCACAAAGAGCAGGCCTAGGAGGGCACCCTGCCTGGTTGGTTCACTCACCAGCTGTGTCAGGAAGTTATCTTCAACACATTCCAGAAACCTCTGTTCCCTCTCTGCTGTGTTGTAGTTCTAGCAGACAGCAGGGAAGTTGAAGTTCCCCCACAAGAACAAGGGCAAACAGCTATGAGATTTCACATAGGTATTTATAGAACAGTTTAACCACTTCACCTCACAGGTTAGGAGGTCTGTAGCAGACCCCCACAGCAATACCAGCCTTGTTGCCCTTACCTCTAGTCCTGATCCAAACACACTCTACATTGTCATGATTTAAGTCAAGTTCTAGACATTCATAACAATCTCTCTCCCACTAAGCCTCTCCACTCAGAGAAACAGCAGGGAATAGCCACTGCTGATCAATTGATTTAATGGAATGATTTGTAGATTAATGAACAGAAAAAATAAATTATTTATTTGCCTTGGACATGCAAATTGTCACATTAAAATAACAAAGAAAAGTGCACCACTGACACAAAACATTTCAGTATTCATGGATGTTAACCTGGTTGTTGTTATTTTCAATGTTAAAATAAAACATTGCTCCCAAAATATTACATTTCAGTTCATAGAGGGCTCTGGTCTCCCACGTTGCCACTCGTCTTCTTTAACTTCTCATTCCATCAGTATGTGCTGAGTCTGTTTTCCACCATTTTCACTGTATTTTCCATGCTTTCCTCCACTAAATGCTCTTTTAATCCCAGTCCTCAAGGCCTGCTCCTTGTTATTCACTTCAAGAGTGCCCTCAAGTGACAAATAAAACATGGCTATCCCATTGCTAGAGGCCTTCCCTTGCACCCTGTGCACCCCGTGCATCCTGCCTTCTCTTCTCCAGGAGTCTTGCAACCCTCATAGCACATGCTGTATCTGTTGTGGTTGTGAAAACATTTGCTTGAAGCTCATCAGAGCTGTTTGAAGTATATCCAAATTTAATTTTGCTGAAGGTAAAGGATATTTTAAAGAATATAGTAAAATATATTCTGAAGAGGAACAGATGTGTTAAGGGAGCGAGATTTGCTCTTCTGTTCCACTGGGTCTAGCTCATTCGAAGCCCAGGCTCAGCACCTCATAATTGCCTGCTACACAGAAATTCAGAAAGAAAGAACTTATCCATCAAGCCAAACAGAGACCTGAGCCTGCTTATAACTCAGGACTGTGCTCTGACAATCGGGACAGAAAAACAAGCACGTTAGTTCCTGTGACAGGATTGCTAGTTTGGGTTGTTTTGCCTTCCCCCCCCACCCCCC